AAATACTACATTTAATCACTGTAAAGAAAAAATTATAATAATCGAAACTAGTTACTTTTGACAAGAAATAAAATATAAACATGCTTATTTCTGGATTAAAAGTCTAAATTAAAATCAGGATCAGCATGATTTAAATCATGATTTTAAACTAAGAATAACTTAATTTAAAAAAAAAAAAATCATTGATTTAAATGAATTTTTTTTTAAAGCAATCTTTAAATTAAACCTACTGAATTTTTAAAAAAAAATTATAAATGTATGTTTAAAATATGTTTTTCGCAAATATTATTTTTAATGAAGTTTCTTTTAAAAAAAGAAAAATTTCTGATTTTATTGATAATGAAGGATTTTTAGAAAGAAATAACGAGAATGCATGTAAATTATTATTGCTCACAATAGATTTTTTTTTATTTTTAAAAAAGTGGATAAGAGAGACATGAAGCTTTTAAATATAAATTTTCTATTAGCTGTATATAAAATAATTTACCAGTTATAAACATAGCTCAATTATGTCCAATTCAGTTTCATGTTTTAAATACAAGTACAACAGAACCTCGATTATCCGAGCTAATTGGGGCTGGAAATCTTGGTTAATAGAAACTATGTATAAAAAATAGGCTTACTCGCAAATTTAACATCCCTTGAAATAAGAAACAACAGAACGTTTTTTAAATGATAAAAATAAACATATATAAAATTATGTTTCACAGTTCAACAAATTTAAAAAGAAAATTAACTACTAGAGGCAAATTTTAAAAAGCAAATAGAAATTTTTTAAAACTATTTTTAAAATTAAACTAAAAGATGCATTTTCAAAAATAACACAAATCTCAAGTATCTCTGTATTCTTTTAAATTCAATATACATTAATTTGTTAATTTTACATTACCATTTCTTGAAATATTTTGTTGCAAAAGTACATTTTTACAAAAGTACAGTTTCACTAAATGACAAATATAAACTCTAAACTTTAGAGTTTAAAATGTAGGATTATAAAAAGCGAAGAGTAATGATTATTTCAACACTAAGCTTAGTTAAAATATAGCATAAAAATTGTGCGTTGTTAGTCTAATGCACTAAAAAAGTATATAGTCAGAAATATTAAATATAGTCAAGAAGACCATTATAAAGTTCACTAAAATTTTTGCACTTTATCTTAATTATATGTACAATGCGCCAAAAAATAATTAACCACCTTGAATGACTTTTATTTCTTAATGGTTCAAGGACCTCAAATATGCAAAATAATTAGTGCAGACAATATTTTAAGCTACAAAATTTGACACAAAAACAAATTTTCTATGAATCAACAAGTCTTTATTGACGGATACAGATTTCTGACTCCAAAAATATAGGGGGTAGTTGCAATCTAGGAAATGTGGTCCTAATAGTTTGGTTAGGAGAGCCGTCCAAGGCTTGGACACCTAAACAGGGTGCGTAGCCAAATCTTTGAATCAAAAATAAGCACTTTTTAAAAACTTTTCAAGCACTTTACAAAAATTTTCAAGAACTCAAAAAATTCATATTAATGAATGATATTATTGAAAAACAAAAAATTTTTATAAACAGTTTTAGCGTTAAAAAAAAACCCAAGAANTTACTTAAACAGGGTGCGTAGCCAAATCTTTGAATCAAAAATAAGCACTTTTTAAAAACTTTTCAAGCACTTTATAAAAATTTTCAAGCACTCAAAAAATTTATATTAATCAATGATATTATTGCAAAACAAAAAATTCATATTAATCAATGATATTATTGCAAAACAAAAAATTTTTTATAAACAGTTTAGCGTTAAGAAAAAATCAAAAAGAAACGGGCGTAAATCGAAATAATCAGTACTTTCCCACATTACCGAGTGAATTCAACTTGACCCTGAACTCAGAACAAAAGTACCTTTACCCCCTACGTCAAAAAAAGTGTTAGAAGTAAAATAAAATAAACAAGAACAAAATTAAAATAAATTAAAAAGAAAAACATTTCATAAGGATCTGATATTCTCTATCCGAATTGGAGCATCGGGTTTCGGTTTCAAGAGTGCGTGCATGTGCAAGTCATAACGTGGGTACGACATGAAGTCCGCTTGAATGATTACGTGGCAAACTCCCCATTTTTTGTGAAATGCATGGGATCCACCAGATATCAATGAAGGGAAGGAAAAAAAGCACTTTTCCAAAACGCTAGCTGAAAAAAGCACCTTTAAAAGCTATTAAAAACGAAATCCCTAAAAAAAGCACCTTTAAGTACTTTTTACAAACGCTACGCACCCTGCTAAATGTTAGTTTTACTTTTTGCATATTTGAGAGAGCTTTTCAGAATAGTTCCTGATAAGTCTTATTTTAACAATACCACTTTTTTAAAATTCACTTTTGATTTGATTTCTCAGGAACTATTCGATCGATTTCGGTCAAGTACTTTAATACTTTGAAATTATGAAAAAATTATATATCTTACAATTCAAAATTATTTAGATTATTATTAAATATAGACTAGAAGTAAAATTTTCATGGAGTTTTCTTTAAATAAACAAATTTTATAATTATGCGCAGAATTTTTTTTAATTACCTTATTAATTTCCAGAGATATGGTGAAATACATTAAAAATAAAATTAACATTAAGTAGTCTAAACTTTGCATTGCTTTCCTGACCAAACTATGGGGTTCATATTTTGGGGATCAGAAATCCGAATCTGTCAAAAAAAAGGTATGTTTATTCAGAGAGTGTAATTCGTAATTAAATTCTTAAGTTAAAATATTGTCAGTAATAATTCAGTAACATATTTTAGGTCACCTCCATGAACCATTAAGATTGAGTTCTAGAACGTAGAGATCCGATCATTAGATCAAAAGTTATTCAGGGTGGTTTTTTCTTCTTCTTTTTGGCGCACTTTATATAAATATACATAATTAAAAATCTTCATTGTAAAACTTTCAATAAACAATGCATTATTCTAGGAACAAAACAGACATACTAAGGAAACATGCTACAATATTTTTCTTATTGTTTTTTTTAAATCGCGTTTACATGTTAAACAATGTGGAGCATAACTCGATATGATGATAATTAGACTTATCACAACAGAAATCTTACTTTAATAAATTAATTTACTTAGTGACAGTAAAAATGTTATGCTAAGATTCTGAATAACACAACTCTGACTTTGTGTGAAAATTACCCCCTACACCATTAAGTAAAACTAAGCCTAGAATAAGAATATGACCTTAATTTTCCTACATTATGTACCCTTTATTAAAAGCCACCCTCAATGCTTAACACTATTCAATAAATTTATGATCATGAATTTAATTTGGATGGGAGGAAAGAGCATTATTTTATGCATTGAATGGCGTGCAGAGGTGTGCGGACGCCGTGATCAAGCTCCTCGATTTGATGCTTCTTTAAAATGTAATCTCTGAACAGGACTCATTAAATCAAAGGAGAAAAACAATGGAATGATAAATATTCCAAAAAATTGAAACCCATATTTTATATTCATTTTAATGCAAAAGTTTACAAAAATTATCACACCTTTTGTAAAAATTTATCATTTCCAAAAAAAATTATATATTTTTCATTTTTTTTAATGTAAAAAAATATTTTATTTTTAATAATACAAAATTTTATTACTAAGGTTTGTTGGAAAATCATATATTAATTAAATATCTTACTAAAGTATTTACCTAACAAGACATTTAATTTCCTAATAAAAATATAATACTATTCATGTCGAAACAAATTAAAATATTTTAGTGCACTTATTTGTAAATTGGATATTCCCTGTTACTTGATATGCCTGAGGACGAAGCCTTCTTTTGCCCTTTCTCTGCATGCAAATGTAACCATTGAAATTGTCTTCAGAAGTTAAAAGTTTTAAAGCAAACATATACAATAAAGAGGAGGAAGATTTGAAAGGATTGACTCCATTTAAATGCTTAAAATAAAAATTTCTTCCATTTGTTTTCAACACATAAGAGTAACATAAGGACAAAAATAAAGCACAGTTTATCGAATTTTTTTAATATAATAAAATAATAATTTTACTTGAATTTTAAACACATAAAAGAATAGTATTCTTAAAATTTTTTCATCTAAATTGTTTAAAATTTCAGCACTTGAGTAATGATTTCAGAAGAAAGGACGCAGTTCGGCCAAGAGATGCCAATAAAACAATCTGGGTACTTCCCTAATAACCAGAACTTTAATATAAGGATGTGAGTTTTAAATTTTTCTAAACACTCCTAAATAGTAAAAATAAATAGACTACAATTTAGGCAAAAAAATATATGAATATAGAAATCTTGAAGCCAGCTCCACAAAGTGTGGAAAATTCAATGTTATTAAACATCATATTCATTTATTAGATATGCTTTTATTTTATATGCTATATATAATTTATTATATTATTTTATATGCTTTTATTTTAAAAAAACATGGAGGCATGAATTCAAAAAGTGGTGGTCATTTTCTGATTCAGGAATTCATTCTACTTTAAAATGAATAGGAATGGTATTATAGCTCCAAAAAGAGATGATTTTTATAATTTTGAGCTATGTTATTATAGAAAATAAACTAATTTTCATCACACATAAGTTCTTTCTCTGTAGTAATTAAAAGAAATAATTATTTCAAAAATCAGTTATAAATCTAAAAAGCACAAAAATTGCTGACTGATAAACTGGTAGGAACAAAAGTAGGAACCTTTATAGGGTAAAAAATAATTCATAATAGTATATTTAACAGTTATAACATCATTATAGCCAATTAACAGAGATTATAAATTCAAGCCAAAATTTCTGGTAATTCTTAATAAAAGTTTTAAATGGCATTTTCACAACTTTTATAGTCCAGTCATGTATCATACACAAAAGAAAAAAATTCATAGTGGAAATATGACATATAAAATATGATAACAGTTATACCAGGGCAAGAAATTTCAATTCTAAAGATGTTATAAAAAGATATTTTAACTTACCAATCATGAAAAATATTAAACTTTTTAAAAAAAAATGTAATATGAAAAACTTTTGGTTACCGAAACCATAAAAGAATGTTGGAACTTGAAAATCAAAAAACATACTTATTACAAACAATAATAATATAAAATCAAAATAAGGTTGTCAAAGGTGTCAACTGCCTCCTGCAGGCATGTCAACAAAAACATCGTTATCTTCTTCAGAGTTTATCGTTTCAGAGTTAACAGTCTCAGAATTAAACGTTTCAGAATTGGCATTTTCAGTATTAATAAACTCAGCCTCGTTCACGTCATCCAAAGACACGGCAGGAGAAGGCGGAGGGGCAGAGTTGTGAGACTTCCTCCCCGAGCACGGCCTAGAGGTCTGCGTCGCACTCTCGTCTGCTTTGAGCCTCTGCAAAAACTGAGTCTTGGCACAGGTTTGAGATTCCAGCACTGGCTTTGTTGCCTTTGCCTCCTCTTTTTGCGCTTTGGCTAGTAACTGAGCTTGTAAGCGCTCTTGCATCAATCGCTGAGTGGTAAGCACCTGAGATTCGTCGTAGGAACGCATTCCCGTGTCTGTATACTCGCTGTCCGACAAAACTATTGGAAAATAGCTAGGCTCCTCACTGGCACTATCAGCCCTCGGATGTAGGGGTATCAAACTAGGTTGATACTGATTGGGTAGTGAGTCTATGCTCTGATAAGCGGCGTAAGTCATATAAGGTAAACTGTATGCGGGAAAAGTGAAATTGCTAGCACCCGGATATCTCTGATACATACCATTGATGGGATTGTAGCCCATAAAGTTTGAAGCAATGTTATTCATCACATCATAGCCTTGTGTAAATAGTGGTCTGATCATCCCAGGCAACGGAGTTGGCATACCTGAAGCAATAGGAACAGGAGTGAATCTTTGGCCGACGGAGTTACCCACGGCAGAAGGTGCATTAAGGCAATCCAGGCGGTGGGAAAAATCCGTCATTCCATGCATGAATGGAGGTGGATTCAATGCAGCCGGTTGAATGAGGTTCCTGTGCCTGGGCTGTGGCAATACAGCTGCAGATATCAAAGGTGTCTCGGCAATAACAGGCCCTCCTCCCAAATCACTCGTACTAGTTGATTTAGGAATTTTATTCATTCTGGCAACAGCCAATAAAGAGCTCTGAAGAGAAGTATCGCTCCCACGTCTGCTTCCCGGGTACCATGGTGCGACACGATTAGCTTTTAAGAAACGTTCCCTTTCTTTTCTGGTTTTGCGTCTTTGTCTCGAAACTTGTTCTTGAAAATCTCTTTCACTTATTTGCATGCTGAGAGAGTCTGGATTAGGTTGATTGAAGGAGTCCATCGATATATAACGACTGACATCTAAAAAATGAAGGAGAAAAATAAAGGTGGTTTTATTTGACAAATTTGCAACCTAAAACCTACATAAGAATACATATTTAAAAACAATCAGGGAAAAAAAAAATTTAAATTTTCACGCATGGAAACACGATTGTACTTGGAACCGATAGACGGAGATCAGTTTGGTTAAATCCAGTTGAATGTGAGATTATCAAAATAATGCCATAGATTGTATAGTGTTTATATATAAAAAAGTGTTGTGATTTAAGTAGCAATTTAATTGCATATTCTAACTAATTCAAACACAACCCTAATATATTGGCAATGTATAAAACTATAAAATATATAAAAATAGTAATTTTTTTGGTATAAATAAATGTATGTCCAAGTTGATCACAATGAGTCCAAAAGTTTATATGAATTTTAAATAATTTTAAGGACTGTTTCCAGGTTTAACAAAGTTTTCAATCACAGTAAAAACCATGGTATGTACCCTGTCCAAAATTATCTTCAAATGTCAAAACTTTTTCTGCAAACTTTCCAAAAATCTTCAGTCTATTGCGTGATTTTATAGAAATCCTTATCTTTAAAGTTCATATTTAATTTTTAAAAAAAAAGAAGAATTTAATTAAAAATAGTTTTATCCGTTATATCTTGAACTGTACAAGACAAGTTATTGTAGTGTAATTTTAAGTGAATAATGCTAAACAGTTACAAAAATGGTAAAAACTATAACATCCAATCATAGTTTTGATAACAAATATGAATTTATTTAAAAAAAAAGAAATAGTTGATTTTGTTTTAAGTATTCAAAAGTATTATGAACATAAGTTTCATATTTATTTGCGTTTATCCAATATGTCTTCAATGTAATTATACATTTTAAAATTTTACTAATATTATATTCACTACAGCAAATTTTACAATTTCAGTTGTTAATTAGACAAATATTAAAAATAATTATCAATAAAACCTTGAAATATTACAGTTAGATATTTATTTTTTAATTGCTGTGTGTTGTCAAATCTTGGAGATAAAAGTGCTTTAACTGTTTATTTTATTAGAGGTTTTGTACAATTTAATAAAATTTTTAATACAACTTTTACTACAAATTTTTAATACAATTTCAATTTCATTCAAGCATTAACTTTGTTCCATAAAATATTGATTTACTTATACTAAGAATATTTATTACAGTTAATTTACTTCGAAATAAACCTTTGTATTACGAGATGATATTTAAAAAAAAAACATTACATCTTTCCAAACATTATATTCTTTTTCCATAAACTTCTTGATAAGGAAAATAAATGTTTCATTTGAAAAGCACAAGTTTGGTACTTTTTGGTGTGATATTTGAAAGTATTTATTTCTTACAAATATATTGCTAAGTTGACTGATAAAAATAATTTATCTAAAACCTTAATGGTCATATAAACACTACTATAATTGCCATTACATTACCATCAATGTGTCTAAATACTTGGGCATGAAACCCTCTATTGGTAAACCAGCTGTACAAGTGGCCCTTCACTCAAAGATTGTGAACTCTATACTTTAAATTACTAATAAAGGTGAAAGAGAATTTTCAATGAAACTTTTTTTTCCCTGGAGTATAGCTTTCGCCTGAAGAAGAAAAAATCTTTAATATACCTGATGCAGATGAATAATGCCTTGGGATGATTCCGGGAGGGACATGCGTCACAGCATTCCTTCGCATCAATAAACGAGGAAAGGCCATTGCCCATGAGGTAGAAATGTCATGGGATGCCACACTACTCAAGTCCATTTGCAATCCTAGGGGGAAGAAAAAATATCAACTTCATGGCAAGTTAAAAGTTAGATTTAAGAAAATAATAGCAGGCAGTAAGCACCTGTTAAGCACACAATGTAGTATGTTATCGACACATAGGTGCTATCTTGGAACTATACAGTATTTAAAGCAAAAGTGAATTAACAACTTAAGGTAAACTTTATGTGCTTCTCAAATTTATTAAGAACGATTTCCCGAATGCCATGGAATATATAATTCAATAATTCTAAATCAAATTTATTAAATTAATAATAAAATGTCAAAGCATAAAACTTACTACCACTTTGAATATTCAAGATAAATCTCCCGATAAATCGACGTTTTTTGACAGGTATGTCAATGTATTCAGTATCAGTGATAGCAGGTAGTATCAAGAGTCCAGTTCATAATTTTGCTCATTCTATATTTTCTTCAAAATGTCAAGAAAAAGAATTTAACTTTTTTAATAACTTATTTGCTTGATAATTTATTTGTTTATTTGTATTCAGCAAATATTTTAGTTAATAAAATAGTAAATATACTTAACCTTTCAAAATGTTAAAAAAAAATTCCCATTTGGAATTACATAATTTTACAAATTTTTTTTAACTTTCTGAAATAAATCAAAAAGTTTTAAGAAAGACAAGATTTTTTAAAATATTATGAAGTTAATTGCACAATATTCAACAATTATTCTAAATATAGACACCCATAGTTTTTCCCCTTTTTGTTATTCCTTTTCATATGCATTATTTGTGATCATTTGTGAGCAATAGCATTTTATTTTGGAAAATACAGTAATATTAAAATCAATACTCAAATATCTTAAATTTTCAAAAGTTCAGAATTTACGGATTCTCACATATTCCAGAGCTTTAAGTTATACATTTTTCAAGTGAATCATGAACCACATTTTCATCAGTTGACTTGACTTCAAATTTTAACTAACACAGTTTTAATTTAATTTTATTGATGTCTAAAAGATTTATATTCATTTAGTTAGCGGAAGAGCTGAAGTGGAAGCATCGAATATTAAGCAAACACACTCACCAAGTGGATCAGCATTTTCACTGATGAAGGCAAAATTTCCTTGATTAATTTCTCTTCTATTTTGAAAACCTTGGGCAATGAGCTTGTGCTTCTTCATGGTCGTAGCATTTGCCTCAGCTGGGGCACAAAGGCTGACAAATAAGACAGAAAATGTATGAATGGAAAGTCCATAGCTGCCAACATTGGTTTTCAAAAAAAAGGAAGAAATTAAAAGCTGTAAAATGTCAACATATTTTTTCTCCAGAAAACACAATTAAATTTAAAGACAATTAAGAACACTTAGGAACATTAATTTTAATTATTTTTCAAACTTTGATATGTGCACAATTTGGCTTTCTTTAAAAAAATTTCATCAAATGTTACATTGTAGCAATTTTGATTTTTACAAAAATAATCAGCTTATATTTTCTCTAGCATCTCATCACAAGAGATGACCTAAACTGAGTTCCTGTTTTTTTAACCTGACTGAACACACGTTCACATTCTGCATTTGAATGTGAAAAAGATAACACAGATAACATAAGTTTAGAAATGCTTTTATATTTATATTGGCCCATTTCATTCTTCAGTTCTCCAATAAAAACCCATTGACTGTCCATTCTATCTTCTTTCACTGCTTCGAAACTTTTTTCAATTTGCAATTGGTACAGTTCTTGTTGCAATTTATCAATTATTACATGTTTCTCTTCACCAGTGTTTGCTAACATCACGGGAAATCTTTGAATAAAACATTTAATGTCAGCAAAAGAAGCATCCTGAATCTTTTGAAGATCTGCAACACTTGCATAGCACGAAATTTCATTTTCGAAAGGAAATTTTAATCTCATACAGAGCAGAAGTATTTCCCAACAGATTTGAAAAACTTCTCTTTTTCAGAAGCTGGAAGATTTTCTACAATATCTGAAGCATAGTTACCAACAACGCAATTTCTCGTATGATTGCCGATGTTGTAGTTCTAGCGCATCCATAACTTTTGGCAATTTTTGAATCTGGGAACATTTTTCAGAATAATTGCCCTGCATGATCAGAACAGCTGAGTGGTAAATAATGTTTCACAATGAATGCAGTGAATAAACATTCAGCTTTAGTAACGGCATTCTCGTGTGATGCGTTACTTTTTGCAAATAAATCAATGCTTTGACTGTTTTCAACTGCGATCTAATTATCTTTGTGTTTTTTAGTTTTAGCTAAAGTAAAAATGTCGTTGTGACCACCATGCGATATAGAAAAATCCGATCGGCAAGGAACACAAAAAGCATGAGTTAAACTTTTAGAAGATTTCTGAATGAAATAAAACTCTTTCAAATAACTCTCTTTATAATGCTGATAATAATAAGATTTTTTAGACATGATAAATTCAAAAATAATCGTAAACTAAAAAGATGAAAAAACGTAGATTAAGAAGCAAAAAAACGCACGTTATTTCTTCACGATAGTAAACATTTGCTCCGTTGCCAGATGCCGTCAACTGAATTAGTTTTTAAAAAAAATCTTTTGTGTTTGATAGCCGAGTGAAACGTTTTCTCCCCGATCAATATTTAGAGAGCGTTCTCACCGCCAATCAGATTCGGAAACGCAGCTGTGCTTCCGAGTGTGTTTCAACTTCTGCGTTGTAACTTTGATTTTTCTCCTTGTTCGAGCACGTGCAGAGAAGGTGCAAGAATATGATTCCTGCTCTAAAAAATGTGTTCGGGTAAAAATTTGGATCGTGTATCTGTTGTAAAAAGTATTAAATAAAATGGGGAAATTTTTTTTCAAAATCGAGGAAAATCGTAAGATTAAAATAAAAAACCGGAAGGCAGAAGTTTCGATAAAAAAAAAAAATGGAAATCTATCGGTTAAACCGGAAGAGTTGATAGCTATTGAAAGTCCTATTAACAAATCAAACCAAAACAAATAAAATAGCTCGGATGCAACAGAACCAAATGCTCATCCGTATCGAATTTAAAAACAACAAATTTTTATTATTATTTTACATTGTTGAAATACTTTAAATTTGCAAAGCACTTGAAAATTTGTTAAGGGTATGAACTTATACTGTTTTAGCTGTGTTTTTATTCCTGCACTGCACATTTACATTCATTTCATATTTCATTCCACATTCATTGATAAAAATAAAAACTTTTTTTTCATAAGAAACTTTCTACAAAATAAGTACTCCTCAATTCAATTGATCAAACAATTAAAAAATCTCTCAATGCTTTTTTCCATTATATATTTTAAATTTATCTTTCTTCTACATAGCTCGGCTATTGCACCAATTGGGAAAAAATGACAATTCAAAGTTTTTTTCGTGTTTATTAAAACTACGTATCTCTATAATACAATGTGTTTCAATAAATGTAGTTTCATTTTTTTCCCTTCATAATCTAACTCTGATATTGAGCAAAATTTCAAAAGAATGATTTCAACTAAAATGTTTAAATAGTATTTAAATTAAACTGTACGTAATAAAGCAATTTTTTTAGTAAAATATTAATTTAAATAAAAAATTTAACTAGTATTTAAGCTGCACATAATAAATAGCTATTTTTTTTAAAAAAAATAACTAATTTACAACCATATTAATGTTTTAGAATGTTTGTAAATGTTAATCAAAAAAAATTTAGGATTTTTAAAAAACGAATCAGATGGGGTGAATTTCAGGCAAAGATTATTTTAAATGAACCCTTTAGTATTTACTATAGTAATTGAGAAATGCTTCAAAAGAAATAAACATTAACAATATCAATTGTTTTTTAATAGTTTAGAATTTCCAATCTTTGAAAAAGTGGCTGATTGTTTTCAAAAACAGCCAATGTTAAAGTCGCTAGCCAGTCACAAAATTTCTTAGTATTGCCCATTAAAGGTGGTCTGGAAAGCTTAAAATTACTTACACCCAATGCTTTAAGAATTTCTAGAATTATTTATCATGATTCTTCCATTTGGAAAATACTTTCAATACACAGTAAAATTGTTTTGAATTTGGAAACATATTATGAAAATGACGTTACTTGCATGATTTGTGTAAAATCAGGAATTGTTATGAAAAATAAGAAAAGTTGGCAACCATCAAATTAGATAAAAATTAAAGAGAAAAATAAATTAAGAAGGAATTACCGATAGAAGAAACTTTTCCACGTTTCCAAGGTGTACCTATTCAGAATGTATAGAGATATCATCAAACCAAAGATTGGAATGCACAGCATATGAAGATGATACATGTGGGCATTTGGTTTATGCTTAAGAACACATCTAGGAATTGATGGATCTTCCATAACATAAGCTTGAGCCGAATACATAGCAAGGCACCTATTTAAATAATATTCATTGGGTTACGACTCTTAAATAAAATAAACAGAACCTAATATTTAAGTTGCAAGTATAATATTTAATCTTTACTTTGAACATTGTGCATCATTTTTTTATTACCCTTAAGACAAAAATTCTAAAATTATATGTTTCCACTGGTGATTTCAAAACATCCTGTATAAAAGGACTACATACTGTCCAATATGTTTTATGCAATAAATTTGTAATCTACCCAGTGATTCCTTTTTTTTCCCATCTTTTTTTTAATGAGAATTTTCAGTTTAAATATCTCAAAACAATTTTGATGTAAGTTTATTGAATTTGTTTTAGTTGATTAAAATTTTGCATTGTTGCTTAACAACTGGGCTATTTCAACAATCTACTTTAAATGCTTCCAAGAAACTTTAAAATGTTAATAATATTTAAAAAAAATACTTCAAACAAACTTTCTCATATATATGCAAACATAATTCGCATATCAGCATTAACATGAGTAAAAATAAGACAGGTTGTCTAACAATTCTCTCAACATTAAAAACTGTTCTTAAATTAACAGTTCATTCTCTAGTTACACAGTTAAGAAAATTAGAGCATGCATTCCTTTTATTTATTTTCGGCTTAAGAATATATAAAAAAAGAAAACTATAATACTAAAATTAAAGAAAAAAAATTTAAAAATCAAGGAAAATTTGGTAACATAAAAAAATAATATGCGCACATCAATATGTTTATAATTTAAATCGATACTCTTACAAGGAAATTATGTATCTGTAAAACACCTATTGAAACGAAGCCAAGATAAGTTTAAAGAGCATTGTCAAAAACATAGGCTGTGGTAAAAATTTGAAATAACTACAGCTCCAGGTTCAAGATATGATGTTCGAAATATTTACTTTTATTACGAATAAAATAAATTTAAAAAAAAAAAAAAAACAGATCACAGATGATTTGCATGTTTTTGTGGCGCAACAGTTGACTTATCCACTTAGCGATGGAAAGATCAGCAGTTCTAACCCCACTTGGTATTATTAAATTATAGTTATAATTCTTAATAGGTAAAATAAAAAATTATGATTAATATAAAAAATATTTAATTCAAAATTAAAAAATTTAACCTTTTATACTTTAATTTTTTTTAGAAAAATTATTTGTCAATAAAATTTTATTTTTCAGTTAAAATATATAAGCTATTCAAGAAAAAGTTTTTGTAATTTAAATACTTTTAAATAAATTTTAACTAATTTTTTTAACAAAAATAAATAATTTAAACTTTTTTTAAATTAAGTAAACATGCAAACAAAATATTACACTTGTTAAGAAGATAGAAAAAGAAATAAATAAGAAAAAAAAGAAAGAAAAAAAAAGAAAGAAAAAAATACTTATAATTAAAGTACTTAATTTTAGTACTTAATTAATAGCTTAAAGAAAGTACATGATACTTTTGTTTTAATGCTTCTTATTGGGATGAGAAGTATATTTAAAAGCTTATAGTAAGCTTTTTTAACATTAACAAAAGGTTTGATCTATGATATCACTGCTTTGAAAAATATTCAAATAAACATAAATTAATAACAGTAACTTAGAAAATTTATTTAAAACAGATTATACTGTTAAATGAATTTATAATCATTAATATAAATGTAAAAAGAAACGTAATTGTAAAGTTAACAGTAATCTAATAACACAGTAACCAAATAAAACAGCAATTTAATTGATAAAACTTGCAAGTTTACAAAAATTAAATAGTGAATGATTTTAAATAAGACACGTTTCAAAATATAGAATCTTAATCTCTATAACACCAATTGATTTAAAGTTCTATTTGATCAGGCTTTTTACATTTTGAAAAGTGTAATTACTGTGGCGGAGTAACTACATAGCTGCCAACATGGATAGGACACAATACAGTAGATATTACAAAAAAATACAAATTTCATGATAAATGTACTAAATATTTTACATATGGGGAATTTTAAGGATTTTAATAGTCATCAAGATAGAAAAACCTGCAATATTTTTCAGCTATGATTGACATCAAATGAACTTCAAAATTATATTATGTTTACTCATAATTTTGAATAGTAATAGGCATTTAATTTATCAAAGATAGTTAAGACTTTTTAATTAATTTAAAAAGCTACTTCTGAAAAAAAAATCTGAAGATTTTAGAACAAAAAAAGTTTTCAACTGATTTCTATAAATGAGGCTCGCTTCATCAAAAATTTAAGTATCCAAGCAAACAATCTGGGCAAAAATGCTATTTCAATAGGGATTTTTACAAAACTTACGCAATTTTAGGGAATTTTCCAAAAATATAAAAAAACCAGGAGAATTTTTATTAAACCAGTAGACCAGGAGAAACTGGCAGAATCCAGTACAGTAGGCAGCTATGTAATTATGTTTTTTTAACATTTGTAATTATGTTTTTTTAATGTATATATTTTTAACCGCGCTTATGTTCTTTTAAAAAAACATAATTACTATGTAATTATGTTTTTTTAAAAATAATTAAAAAAACAGGAAAATAATAAAAAGACAGAGAATTAAAGATACAAGGAGGAATTCCATGCCTATAATTGATATGTGCATATTACAGTAAATAACATAAACAAATATTTAAAAAAAAAATACCCACACAAGATGATCTTTAAGACTTTCACTCCATACATTACGATAATTGAACTCATATACATGACAACACAAAGTAATTAAAAACACACCCACAACACAAACAGCAGATAAACCTAAAAATTGGGGGGAAAAGGGAAAATTTAAAAATAAAATAAAATTTTCATTAACTAACAACATGCATTTCAAACAAAAATTTAAAAGCAAATTAAACAAAATAAAAAGGGTTTAACAATAATAAGGTAAAGTGAGTTAATTTACTTACACACTTGAAACATCATACGGCAAATCTTTTCTTTATAACCTTCATTGGTAATTTCTTCACTGTAAAGTCTTATTTTTATCAGCTTGTATAAAGCTAAAATTAAAGGCAAAAAATTAAAAACAACAATGTAGTATAATAACCTGGTATAATATTGTGGAAAAAAAACTTTGGTGAGATAGGACCTGATGGTGATTACACTTCAAAACTATAGTGGAACCTGGCCTACTAGTGGATGGTAGAGATTTTAATCTATATAAAAGCACTTTCCTATTTTNAATTAAAAAACTTTTTCAGCAAATACTCAATCAAATAATAAAAAATAAGAAGTATAATTGATAGCAATTTGTTGCAGAGAGTAGTCTTCAGATAAATGAGTAGCAAACTTTTTTTTGAAAAAATTAAGGACTTCGAAAAATTAAGGACCTTAAAATAGGATGATTGTTTATCATCGAATATACCACCAGTGACAGTTCTTAAAAACATCAACAAATAAAAAACAATTTTATTATAACGCATGTACTGATATAATTGCATTAATTAACAGGGTTCGCCAAAGTAGGATCAGGTAATTTTTGCAAACCCGGGTTGGTGTTTTTTTAATATTTTCAGATTGTTAAGGATTAAAAAGTGACACCTATAAAAATAAACTGTATTTCATTTTTAATGATTTCATTGCAAGTGAATTGTAAAATTAAGTGCAGAAATTAAGATTTGCAATTTTTTTCATATTATTAAAAAAAAAAGAGTAAATCTAGGAAAAACATTGAAAAATTATTAAGACAAGTTCTTATATTTCTTTGCTAGAAACGCACCTCATATTCAGTTGTGTGCCAATCATGCTAAATATTCAGTTATGCCAAAAAAATTCTTTATTTTCGATTAATAAAATGTTTCATTTATAAGGATATACATTAAAAGAATTAATACTGAAAAGTTGAATTAAAGTTATGCATGAGAGTAGTTTTCTTAATTACGTCATGTTAAATTAAGTCCTATTTCAAGTAATAAGAGGCCACACTAATATCTAAACACCTTAAATCATTCCACTTTTTTTTTATTAGACTTAAAATAATTTTTTTTCTTTTTTAATTTTTGCGCTAAATATTTTTATGAAAATTTTTTAAGAATAAAAATACAATTATACTTGAGAAGATTTATAATTTTGAAACAAATATGATTTTTATATTAGTTGTCGGTGAAACATATAAATAAAAGGGTCTAAAACGTTTTTTCAAAGGTATCAACTCATTCCTATGGGCAGAAAATTGGTGAAATTCCTTAATTAACAAATACTGATAAATTATTTATATCTTCATCATTTATAGATATATACTTGTAATATTTCGTTATCATTCTTAATATTATTCTCCAGTATTATTATAATTTGATATTTAATTTTTATAGCAAATTTAAAATTTGAAACTGAAAGTGATATTCTTTAATTATAAAGTAATCCTGTAATATCACCTTATCAGGTAACATTTTGTAAAAAAACATCGAAAAATTTTATGAAGAACGTATTGAAAACGGTATATAATTTAACCATTCTGAAATTATTACTAAGCAGCAAATGTGTCATACTTACTCTTATGATGAGTTTTACATAAAATTATTACCAGCAAAAACTGTTATTAGGAATTAACTGTACATAATATTACTAAGCAATATGCCGAAAAACAAACTAATTTCAAAACCATAAATTGAATAGAAATTTAAAAAGAAAAAAAAAACAGTATATTAAGTTTCAATGTTAGCTGAATAAAATAATTATTAAAATCTAAGTTTGAATTTTATTCTAATAGACATTAGTAACAAAAAATTTGGGATCTTTAATTGAGTAGATTTAAATTTTTATGTAACAATTTGCTTATCCTTAGGAAAAATAATAGCATAGCAATCTAATATCAACAAAACAAGTTATATATAGTTACCAAATATTTAACTTTCTTGTTAGAAGCAAATCATACATTCTTATTTAGTACTTAGTAATAAAAATGCTAAGTAGTTTTGGAAAAAACTGGGGTTTTCATCTAAACCCTGATAAGCTGCAAGTTTTTGATGATAAACCTAGGTGGGCTGGGATGTTTAAAACTCTGTTTATTACAGATCTGTTTAATTTCTAGTGCAATCTTGAATTTTAAAAAATGCTACTGCTTTCTATAAATTTACGTTTACTTATTACACATTGAAATGTTATACAAATTTATTTAATTCTTCAAGATTTTTAGAAATAGTTTTTGTTATGGATTCAAGCTCAAAATTTTTTTTTTTTTATACTTCTTTTTTAGAGATTTACTATGTTCCTATAAACAGATGCGTTACTAGTAGAACTAAATTTCTTGAATTCTGTTGTTTTTGAAGGTCAGTGTGTATCTTCTTAGGTACCTTAGAACTGCCCCCCCCCCCAAAAAAAGCATGATATTTTGCATGTGCAGTATCTCCCTTGTCCCCATTGTATTATTTTCCTTTAAAATGCTCCACTCTCCTCATATCATTCTAGGCAAAAGGAAGAATATATTAACGATAGAGCCAATAGATTAATGAAAGGACGTGCTTTTTTTCCTATGCCTGTTCCTCATTCACACACATCCCTTTCTGTCTTTCTAAAATGCTCTTACCCTCGATGCATGGTCTCATTCAAGGTGATAAAAGAACGACTTTTTTAAAAATATTTCGTAAGACTGAAAAAATTATTCCCATCAAGTAGTGATGAAAAATTAAGGACTTTTAAAAACCTTGTTCCAAAATTAAGTACTTTTAAGGGCCCTTATTCTCCAAAATAAAAATTAAGCAGCTTTTAAGGACAGTGGGAACCTTGCAAAAGTTTTCCATATCATTATTTAAAAACATTTCCACTAAGTTTTCCAAAAGTTTCAAATTTTACAATGACACACAAGCTTAAATGAAAAAACAAAACAAAAAACAATCCTACAACGTAATTTTGACATAGGTATGTCATAATTACGAAGTTTCGCCATCAAGAATAATACAAAAATCCGAGCAACCAAGATTGACTGTCTGTTAATCACAGAAAATCAGAGCAATTGTCTTGATGTGAATGGTTTTGTTCAATTGTTTTTCTAGTCAAAAGCATCATTTGTTGACAAATTTTGTAACTAATATTTAAACTTAATAAGAATAATTGCCAGTTTCCTAAGCAAAAATGAAGCAAATGTTACATTTCTAACAGTGCCCATTTTCTTTAACTAATTTTTTAATTTGAGACGCAACATAATAATACATAGCACAACACAAAATAAATAATGCAACTTAAGAAAGCATTAAGCAACACAAAAACAACTTACTTAATGCTAAGAAGCATCCTCCAACAACAAAGGTAAAGCACACTGGGGCAAGAACATAACCCTTGCGAAGATCAGCATTGGAATAACCAACAAAGCAAATTCCACTCATGGAATCACTATCAACCTAGGACATTATTAATAATAAGATTAGAAAATAAACGGAACCTTTATTTTTACTTTACAATATTATTTCATAGCCAACATAAAAGTGAAAAATCAAGTAGAATGAAATATAAATTTCATGTTAATTATTGCATGATATCTAAAATATTTTAGAATTGGGAAATATTAGGGATTTTTATTATCTATCAAATATAAAAAATTTATCACACTAATAACTATAAATTTAAATAATTGCCTGGAATATTTTCAATTCATAATAAACATCAAATTGTGTTAATTCTTTTTAAGTTAATTTAAAAAAGAAAAACGTAGAATTAATTACAATAAATGAGATTTTCTTAATGCTTAGCAGTAATGCAAAGACACAGAGCTCAAAAACTCTCAAATTTTTAACATGCTTGGGCACTCATGTTAATCAACAAAACAAAAGTTCAAATAAAACCTTTACATGCCCAAATATTTCTTTTTTTTTTTGGAATTTATAAAAATTTATGAATGTACCAACTATACAGCCATCGAAAAAACTAACAATGACAATGTTATATCTAATAATAGAAACAACAGTGTCTACTAATTTATCTTTCATTATAAGCTTAAATCGGAAGTATTAAGTATTATTAACAAAGAAGTGTTAGGCACATATTTTTTTTTTCTAAAAAAAATGTATGATGCTTACTACAAGTGCGAAGAGGGTAAGATTTCATTAAATTAAAATTTAAATGGTAATGAAAATATTTATTCTATTTAAAAATAATAAAAAAATTGTAGTCTTACAGCATTGGTAGAAAATATTGCCACTGTAAGGAAAAATGGTATTAACCAAGCACACAAGTGAACATAGAAGGTTCTTTTATCCAATTTCAATCGAGCAGACTTTTCAGAAACTGTAGCATACCAAGCATACGTTAAAATGACAAACCAAAAACAAGCAGCCATTGAGAAAGAATATATCAGAAAAAACTGTAAAGCACACATATTAAAAGACCTAAAAAAGAAAACAAAGAAAATATGTCAAAAGAAAATCACATATTACAATAATCTTTTTTTTTTTTAAACCAAAAACTAAAATTTACTTAGGCTGTTCTTGTTGAACTGTACCATCCTCAGCACAAATTATATTTTCTCTCGTCCCTCCAAAAAACTGAAGCAAAATTCCAAAGGACACGATAGTCCAGCAAAAATTCAAATAGAAATAGATTTTCTGAGGATACTTGTCAGTTGACTGCCAATTTATAAAAAAAGTTATCTGAAAAAAAATCATATTTAGTATAAAAAAACTTACTAATAACGAAAATATTATGCTGATTATCTAAAAAGAACTATTCTAATAAAAAAATAATTAATAGAAAGTTATGTGACACATAGAGTTGGGCAAGAAATGCCTGAGTTCTAATTAAGACCAAATCAAAATGCTCAACTTTGATGTTTAGTTGCATTTCTGAGGAACTTCTCTCAATTAATATTCAAGAACTTTTTTTGGTATCTTGGAATTGCAACATTGACTATTTCCGTACTTTAGGATTATCCCGTCGACCATTTTCGTACTTTGAGATTATACCTTTGACCATTTTCATACTTTGGGATTATCCCGACGACCATTTTCGCTAAACCCAATATTATCGTTAAAAGAAGCTTTTGCGCTAAGAACCGCAAATTTTATTACTTTGTTTTATCATTTTTTATTTTGTTTCATCAAATTTTAGCATTTTTTTACTTTGTTTTGATTCTCTTTACTACACTTTTTAATTATATATTTTTACACTTAACCTTTTTTGGGTTCTTTTTTTTTTATTATTTGATAAATTTAATGAGTTTAGAATTTATTTTGAAAATTGCTTTTCATTATGATGGTGCCAAAGGATTTGTGATTTTTTTAGAGCTTTGACAGGTCGACAGGATAATCCCAAAGTATCATTTTAACTCTTTCAAACAACTATAAAACAGGTTGTTTTTAAATTTAACATTTGATTTTAATCATTTGAACTTAGCAAAACTCAAACAAAAATAGAAGCGAATCAATTTTCATGAATTAATTTTCTTGAGAATAGAAAAGCTCTGTTCATCGCAAATAATTATAATTTCCTAAACAGCAACAATTCATAACCATTATGTTACCGTGAATGACCAAAATCAAGAGAATGTGAACTTTCACTGGTAAATGTCAACAATCACATAGTCGCTTTGATGAATGTCTAAAATATTTGTTATATCCGATTTGATATGAATTTATTCGTAAATATAATTATATTTATTCAATATTTTAATATCTGCAGAGAATAGGTTAGGAGAAAAATCAGTGTTCGGAGTACCGGTTAAATGCATACTGGGCAATGGCACTTGACCTTAGAAAAAAATTTATGTAAGGCATACGGGGCAGTGTCATTGAAACTTAAATAAATATCAGTGTAGGTTATAAGGGGCAAATGCTTACCAAGTAGTGGCACTTAAGAGGACGATGTACTACAGAAGAAACTTTTTGTCACAAATTCTCATTCACCTCCATAACTAATGTAAAGTATAGAAAAAGTGAGTTCAGACAAACCAAGAGTTAGTCATGAAGTTTTAAATACTAAAGAGAACATTTAAAATATTCAAATGAATATAAATTATGAGAAGATAATTTCAGATTGAGCAATGGAGAAGTTCTCTTCCGATAATTTGCTTGCATTTTGATATTTTGAATTTTTTTTCAGCGATTGAAACTTTAGGGTTGCCTGATCACACTTTTTCTTTCTTTGAAATTAGCAATGGAGGTGAAATCAAATTTTGCGGTGAAATGTTTCTACCGTGGTATGGCGTCCTCTTAACTAGACCTAGTATATATTTTGAACATTTACCAAAGCAACTATGTGGTCCAACGGTGGAAGTCAACAACCACAAATTTCGGTTATTCTCAGTAACAATTATTAGTAAATTACTTAAACATTTTTATTTCTAAGCAATACTTTATTCTATGGTCACATTTATCCACAGTTGTAAGTAAGAATTACTTACCACATTAAAGAGGGTGATTGCAAAGCTTACTGAAGAATAAATAGACAGCCATTTGTGTAGATAGGCATGTTCTTTTTCCGTGTACAAAGGATTCTGGCATGGCACTCCACAACCTTCAATATTGTACACCCATTTAACAGGATTATCAGTCTCGATTAAAGGTGGCATGCATTTGGAGGTGATGTTAAATTTTATTTCTTGCAGTGGGTTCTACAGAGAAAATATTTAAACAAAATCTAGAGCAAAACCAAGTATGTATTTGAGTCAAAAATGTAAAACAAATGAAAAAACTTTTAAGTAAATATTTAAAAACATAATACAATTTAAAAACTAAAATTTAATACTAAACACTTAAAACAGTGTTCTCCCTAAGTGTTTTTAGAAGGGCGGTCCATCCTCCCCTTAAAAACATTGAACTTTTATTCTTATTCCAATTTAAAAAAATTAACAAACTATTTAAATAATAATTACACAATGGTAAAATTATTTTTGTTTAAAGGTTTAATTCTGATTACTATTACAGATATTTATTTTGTCAGGATTATTTTCAACTGGTTAAATTTTTAAAAGTTTCACTTTTTAGGGGGGGGGGTATATTGATGAATTTTTTAAGTGATTTTAAAATTAGTTTTTAAACAATTTTTTCTTTTAAAAAAAGCATTTTTAAATATTTATTTTGTCATAATATTCAGTTTGAATTACAGAAAAAAGCTTTCAAGTTGCTTATCAATAATCATTCCCTTTTTAGTTTACTTTTTTTGAAAAAAAAATTGAGCAGTGATTCTGTTTTATCATGTCTTAATTTTTTTTTAAATGAACTACACATTTTTCTCTTGTTTTGATAATAAGTGAGAGTTCCTTTTTGAAATATATACAAAAAATAGTATCAGAGGGTAATTTAAAAATTGTTGAGGATAACATTTTGTTATTACATAATATAAAACATTTGACAAATTTTTACAGTGTTAAGTGAGCACTCTTTCAAAATTTAAAGTGCCCTATTCTGTGAGGAAATGCCCGGCCCTTTTTTACTCCCAGGGAGAACTCTGCTGAAAATAAACATGTTATTTCGAATTTAAATTAATACTAAATATTTTCTGAGAAATAACATTTTGTTTCAACTTTTCTATCAGATAGAGAGCAGAAAAAACTTAATTTTTCCTTCTAGTAAATTTATTATTATAGTAACCAGTATTATTTGTATAAAAAATAAATTTACAAGTTTAGGATGTTTACAGAATTAATTCCTATATCTATGTAAATAAAAGGAAAAAGTTAAACCAGTGAAAAAGAATAATTAAATTAATATTTTGTTCACAAATTTAATTTTAAATAAAGGCAATTGTTTATACCCGACAATGAGGAGGAAATGACTTCTTATTTTCACACTTCAAAAATGGTGGCCAACCTTGCTCCAGATCAACCAATTTGCAAGGACCTCGTGTGATGCGACACATCTCCTGGGAAGGAAGAAAAAGAGATTCGTTCTCACACTTTGGCATGTAAACGGCACACAAAAGAGGTTGAACAACTGCCCAACATCTTGGAACTGCTTGCAATCCTTGCCAGAAAGCAAGATTATCCTATAAAAAGTTGTAAAGTAATTAAAATATCGCACGAGAGAGAAAAATAACACTTGATTAAAAGAAAATAGCTAAAAATATTTTAAAACAAAGAAAGCAAAATGTATTGATTCAGTTGATTTCATGATACTAGACTTTGAATTTACCAATTGATTATAAATATTTATTCATTGTTAATAAATGAGACATTATTAGTTAAAAACAATATTAAAAAAATGAATAGAGCCAGTCTTATAAAATAACAAAAATTTGCTATTAAATGTAAAGGGAGTAGAAATTATATCTTGTACAAAGTTAATCTGTGCTCATTTTCACTGGTCTGCTTCTATGTCTTAATGAGATTTCCCATGTTTAACTCTTAAATTAAAAATTTATAAAACAAAGACAATATTAAAGAAAATGAAATAACTAAAAATGCAAAAGAAGCTTTATATAAACTTTTATTAACATTAAGTGAAAAATCACAGAGAAAGCATAAAAAGTATTCACAATTATGATGAATTGTACTATTTTGTGACAGAACTGCTATCAAACCAAATCAGGAAGTTTTTACATTTGATTGACAGTAATTGGTTACTGCTCTGGAGCATACCAGTGATAATTGATATTGTTAATTGATGATGATTCAAAATTCTGTAGGAATCCTGAATCACCATTAATTTTGATCCCTGTAAGTTTATAGTTATTTTTCTTCCAATAAAATTAATAATTTCGTAATAAATTGCTATTTGGAAGAAGAAGAAAAAAAGACATCAGAGATAATCAAAATCTGGATCTATGAGTGAGAAATTGAAAAAGTTATATCAAACTGAGAATGTAAGGAAAAATAAGAAAAACTCAAACACACAATTTTTAAAAAAAAAAATTTAAATGAAATGTTGTATAACATTAATGCTAATTTTAACAATCAACTATTAGGTGAAACTATAGTTTAAGAGCTCAGTAATAAAAGGTACCATGCGTCAATCTTAAAGCTTTATATTTTCATAGTTAGAAATTAAGATTTTTTTTTCCCCTTTCTGCCCTATCTTTAAATAAAGTGGTTCTATGAGAAAAGATATTTTGTAAATAGATTTCTGATAAATTTTACAGAGAAAAATTTCTAAATTATGTAAAAATTTCACTAGGCACTTTCTTCCAATGAGTTTTTAAATTGTTTTTAATACTACATAAATTTTCACAATCAAAGCAAAAATCTATACTTATCCAATTGACCATTTTCGTACTTTAGGATTATCGTGTCGACCATTTTCACCAAACCCCAATATTATCACCAATGGATAGCTTCTGCACCGATTACTGCACATTTTATCATAATTACTATGTAATCCTTGACTATGCGAGTTAGTTTTCATTAGCGTGTTGAAATATACTGTTTATTTTACTCTGCCGCAAAATGATTAGAACTTTTGCCTAGCACCAAAGAGAGTGCAGTAGCATATTTTAAAGAGTATGGCATTATTCCTTCTAAGGAAATGTGTGTAAATTATTTAAAAAAAAAATTTATAAAATAATATCAAAAATTATTTTTAAAAAAAATTATTAAAAAAATAGAGGTTTTTACTGCGTTGCGTTTCTTTTCATTAACTTTTTTATCACATATTTTTACACCTACACTTCTTCGTTATTATTATTTGATAAATTTAATGTGCTTAGAATGTTTATTTAGGAAATTGCCTTTCATTATGATGGCGCCAAAGGATTTGCGCAATTTTCCGAACATAGACAGGTTGATGAAATAATCCCAAAGTAACCAAAAATCATATAAATAAAGTTTTGAGCCATGTATTTTGCCATAAACTTACAAAAATCTCCAAACGTGAATCAGAATCCTCTGCAAGATCTATGGAAGTATGGGAATATGGTAATGGTGTACCAAAACAAGTTAAATTCTGAAAAGGAACACAGGTAGCTTTCTGGAAACATGCTCCAGGATTTTCATAATAACTTTTGTGAGCAAGCTTGGCAAGTTTATTAGAGTGACTCGTGATGCTAGCAGAGGAAAATTTGAGTTCCCAAGAAAGGAAAACAAGTAGTAGAAGAAACATATTGACAGAAACCTATTGAAAACATAAAATTTGTCAATTCAAATAATAATTAGACACTTAGTATAAATACAAACTTACTTATTAAAATAGAAGTCAGAAGTAATAAACAACAGAATTTTTAATCAGAAGTAATAAACAGAGTTTTTAGAGTAGGGAGATTTCCTTATAGCGATCTGTGGCAGAATAATTGCCAAATCTTCGCTGATGCTAAAATTTCTAATGCTCTTGTTTAAAAGTAGTTTCAGAAAATATATAAAAAATATGAATACAAGTCTTGTCTTAAGCAACTTGCGCGACAGTGGTCTGTGAGAAACTTTAAAAAAAAAAAAAATCTTGAAAAGGGAGCAACTCAAAAGGTATAACTCGCTTTCACCCTCAGGCAAACATCTACATGTTTTTTTTATAAAAAATTTTCTGCAAGTTTAAAGTCTATTTGGCACTTTGGCAATTGCAGTTGGCACAACAGATCACGATACAGAAATTATCCCTTTAGAGTATTTGATTTTTTTCTTTGAGATAATATTTAAGTGCTTATCAGATTCCCCAATTATTGAAGAGATCAAATCAGAGTATTCAAGGAATCAATTTTGTTAACTTGGATTTTAAGGAATTTTTATATCCGAAAGAAAAAACTATGAAAAAATAGTTGGAGCACAACCAAATTACTTTTTTTTAAATTCAAAATATTCATGTTTAGAATTATTGGACAGAATTATTGTAAATTATTGTTCAGACAATTTTATCAATAATCTAAGGCGGAAACCCTTAAAATTGGATGATAGTTTTAATGTACAGTATACTCTGGATATCTCAAAGTTGAAGGGACGTTAAAAAAGTTTCGAGATAGCAAGTTTTCGAGATAACAAGTTCAGAACTAAATGTATTCTAAAAAGTAGAAATATGTTTGTAATGATAGTAGACTATAAGTCTAAATAAAACAATGATAATTTTATTTCTAAAAGTAAGACAAAAATGATTTTGCATTACATATAAAAGAATTGGTGAACAATAAACTTACTTTGTGATTTTTCCAAAACAAAATTCAATTTCTATTTCAAAAAAAATTTGACACAACAAGGTTTTGAGAAGAAACTCTTCTGCATAAGAATTCAAATTAGCAATAGGTGGAAATGCAATGCCGAGGGGGAAAATATTTTTTCGACAGTACAAGGTTTTAGAGATATCGAAGTTAGAGGAATCGAGAGTGTATTGTAATTGATTTCCCACTTTAAAAAGATTAGGAGAGGATCAGAGCTCTGAAGAAGGTAAGGTGTGGTAATTTTTTTGAATGGGTGGACAACAAGAGGCACAGAATAACTGAAAAAGGATGTGCAACACACAGTGGCTTGAAAACCATCTTTACTGATTACAAGGAAGTTCATTCAAAAAGGTTGTCAGATTCTCTTTCAGTTGTGAATCGAATGCACAGATCAAAGAATTTAGAGTCTTGAGTTTCCTTAATCGTTGATTGATTTTCATTCAATAAAACAAAACAGACATCAGCAAAAAAGTAATAGAATTCAAACTATTGGAGTTCAAAATAATGCATGTAGATATCATTTTGTCTGGAACAAAATGGATTACCCATAGCCAAGCCAAAGAATATATAATGTGAGAAGAAGTTTAGCTTCTCCGATACGTAGAAGTTTAGCTTCTCCGAAGAGGGGCCAGCAAGGTCTCTCTGTATGACAAGAAAATCGTCAAAGGGTTTTGAGCCGACGCATGCGCACATCTTTCATCCATCATAGCATCTCTAAATTTGCTTAACAACAAATTTTTTGAAATCTTTAAAGTGACATCTTTAAGTGAGCGATATCTATTTAAATTATACGCCTGTGTTAAAATAATAAATTATATTTATTTTTAATGAATTCGTCACAAGTAAATATTTTTCTTGTTTAATAAGTAAACCTTTTTCAAAACCATATAAGTCTGTAAAGAACAAAAGCAGACAGGGTTTGAGCATAGAGTTGAAATACGGGGAATACTACTATCTCAACTCTATGGATTTGAGTCACTTTTCATTAGCTGTTTACACGAGGGAGGAAAGACACGGTGAAAGGTGTTTGTTAAGAGCGGAGAGGAATGGGGTTGCTTACGGGGTATGGACGGAGGGACCCTCTGTAACTAGGCAGGTTGTTTTCCAAGCAATACTTCCACACCTCGATGGAGGTAACTGTTGCCTTCGGAACAATTTTACATGGGGCCCTATGAGAGCTCGCCTTCTTCTCCTAATATATATTCTTTGGCCAAGCTATCTGCAATCCTGTAAAACCAGTTATAAGAAATAGAGATATTCAGAGTACGAGTTCATCAATTTGATTTGACATATTGTACAATTTCATATACTTGAAGTTAATAAAATTATGAATATGATATATTATGAAGTTAATGAAATAATGAATTTCGCTCAGTTGTTTCTGATGGCACAATAATTCGCCTTCGACAGGTATATTGGTGAACAGGATATTGACATCAACAGAATTTTGGTGCAATTAAATGTGTAGAAGTTATATTTAAGAAGAGATAAAAACATTGTAATAATATATTTCAGGGTTTTTGACCCATCCACAGAGAAAAAAAAACATTAAAAAACACCCATTTGAGCCCGGATTTTATTGGAGAAAAAAAAAACAATAAAACCTGAGCTCAAATGGGGTTTTTATGAAAATAATCAAAATAGATTAAAAAAGAATAAAGAGAAATAGATAAATTTTAAGGGATTTCATATTTATCTTAAATATATTGATTCTGGAATTTTCAAATCCAAACTAATACTTTAAAAAGAAATTCTTAAAACTACTAAGAAATTGTTATTTAACAATTTTGTGCAAACAGTAGTTCTGGTCTGCAAAAGGCTTTAGGAACTAAAAATTGAAGCTATAACTTATGAATATTTAAGAGAATAAATAATACAGCATATTTCTCTATCCCCAATATTATGATTCATTTCTACTTAGGGAAAAAATTAATTTAAGAGTCTTTTATTAATACCAGCATGAAAGGATGGCACTACATTAAAACTTTGTTTTAATTCATAGTTTTAATTATTATTTTCGTATAAGCTTTCCTTTTATTAAATTTGTTCTCTTTTGAATTAAACATTAAATCTAAAAAGTGTTATATATCTTAAAAAACCCAAAATAGCCCAATAAAACCCACTCGGTTTGGTTTTTTTTTTTAAAAAAAAACTCTTTTGTTTTTAAACCCTGGTATCTAGTGAGTTTATAAAAAGTACTGACTGGGTTGGAAACGATGGATTATAAATAACTGCAATTTTTCAAGTCTTTTACATGAACGCAGTTTAGACAAAGGTTACTATTTATAGAAAAAAAATTTTTTTAGAGAATGACAACTTTATTTCATATTAAAAATAATCAACATTGACAAACCCTGGTTGTAAGTAGTTAACATTTACAAAATAAAATAAAAATCATGCAAATTATAGCAATGAAAAGAACATTTCCATTTCAGATAGCGGTCAGAAATATTTCTGAACCCAGGGTCCTGGCATACTATTAAGACGGCCCTGTACGGAAATCTTCCCATTCAACATCAAGGAGCAGGGGTTATCATAAAAATATTGACACAACTTATTTTTAATCAGCAATCTTCCGTTTGATGATAGAAAGTATGAAATTTATGAGTTATATTACCACTTATACCCTCAGTCTCATCAACCATGCTGTTTACATTTGAAAATAAATAAACTTTAAAGAAAGCAAAAAGAGCAACACAAATTTTTCTACATACGGTCACGGTTAAAAATATGTAGGAAGAGCATTGCTTAAAAACGTCGTCTGTAACCGAGTTACAAGTGCTCTGTCCTTAACCAAGAGAAAAAAGAAAAAACATCTGTGTATACGTAAGATATACAAGTAAGCACCTTAAACATTAAAATGAAGGAAAAAAAACATTATGCTCTCTTAAGTGCAGTTGAGTTTTCTTAAACCGATTTTTCCTGAACGTTTAATCTTTCTGACCTGGTATTAGAGACAAGGTATAAGTGTAGAGAATATCAGGCAAGAGTATGGAGCTTGTGGAATACTAAGCAAACTAAGCATTAACCCTTTAACTTCAAAAAAAGAAAAAAGAAGCCGACTATGAAGGAAATACCGGACAAGTGTATATAGTCTTGTATTCTTTTTTTCTTCTTCAGATTTAGGGTCATAGCACTTACTATTCCATACACTGATGATTTCTTAAGAATTATTCAGGCCCATAGAGAGGAAACCTAGAACTGAAGGATACACTTTTCAATCTGATCATTCGTCAACAACGATTCGCGATCGCGACACNTATTCTTTTTTTTTCTTCAGATTTAGGGTCATAGAACTTACTATTCCATACACTGATGATTTCTTAAGAATTATTCAGGCCCATAGAGAGGAAACCTAGAACTGAAGGATACACTTTTCGATCTGATCATTCGTCAACAACAATCATGCCTTTTCTTTCTTTAAAAATAAATAAATAGAAAGATATTTTTTTAAAAAAAAGGATGTTGATTGCTTATCAGATTGACCAGTTGCCTAGGAGATTCAAGAAATTGATTACATCTGCCTTATTCCATAAATGCTCATTCTAATTACACAAGGTTTTAAATATGTTATTAGTTTTTATTAGTATTTTTAATCATTAGCATTTGATTTACGTTTTATTAAAATGATTTTACAGCTTTTGTGTTTTTATCCTCTACACACTGTGCTGCAAATTCACATACAGTTATCCTTTCCAGATAGCGTACTCGGAAGTTGCGATCGCAAACTGAAATGTTTTTAGCCAACAGATTATATGCCATGCATACTTCAAAAGCATACTATGAAGGTTTTTAATGGTGGCAGCTTGAAGACTGATCAACAGGTACCAGCTTGTCTGTGAAGTTAAGACGGCCGTGCGCAATGCCGATCGTTGATTTAATCGTGAGTGGAACCAACAACTATAATTTTTATGATATTGTTTAACCTGTTACTTGAAGTTAAAAGCTACATATCGGGGAATGATTATCGCGATATTATTAGTGCTATCGGTGGAATGATTAAACATGCTGTTCTGTCAATATCACCTTTAATACAGATTCTTATAATGCCAGTCGAAAATAATATAAGAAAAAGTATCCGACCGCATTGAGAGTCACAAAACAATATTTAAACAAAAATGTACATCAATGTAAAATGTTTGCTGTACACCACGTTGCAGAAATGAAACCCTTGTACATTTGGAGTTCAAGTTGCATTTTAAATATATTTATTTCTGAGTTGGATTGTTTAGATTTAATTTTGAAGCATATTTTAAAAGATTAGCATGGCAAGGGCAATTGCAGCAACTACTTTGAATGATTCTTGAACGAACCTTTTACTCGCTATAGCGAGTAAAAGGGCAAGGGAAAGATAAACAAGAGCAAAAAAGGACACTAAATTAATGAAATTCAATCCTATATTAACGTATGCTGAAATAACTTTAGAGTTGAAAATTGTATTTTTATTTATTTATGTTTTTTTTAATAAATTGACAGTTAATTGGGGAGTGTTTAACGGAAACCGGGTGATGTATCAACTTTTTCTTCTTTTTTTTGACGCCTAAATTTTAATAAGGCAATGCTTATAGATATGCAAGGAGTCACTTTGTCAACAGGATCGTTTAGAGCCGTGATGGCTCAAGAGATAGAGTGTTCGCTTTAAATGAGGTGAACCAGGTTCGAATCCCAGCGATCCCTGGTTGATACGAATTACGCATCCGGCTTGCATCGCCCACAGTACTGACGTAAAATATCCTCAGAGGTAGACGGATCATGGGTTAGAGTCCCCTTGCCGTCAGGCTAACCGCGGGAGGTTTTCGTGGTCATCCTCTCCTTGCAACGCAAATGCGGGTTTGTTTCATCAAGAACTCAACGATGGCAAATTTCTCCCAATACTTGATCCAAATGTTTTTTCTGTGGTCCAAGGGTCGTTTTATCGATAGGGTTTGAAGAAAAGTAAAATGATAGGAACGGAATGGATAGACAAAGCAATGGATCAGTGTAAACATTAAACAAACGATTCAAGTTGCTAATAAGTAAAAATAAAAGTTTACACAATCTTTAATTTTTTGCAGAGCAGTAGGAGATTATAATAATTTTACTATTTATTTTTGTTAACATATCAGCGACGCGTCGTTGATGCATGGATTAGAAGCTGGGTACATTATTTTATGTTATTTATTATATCATTACATTATATGTAGAATTTCGGTCTCTTTGTGATCTCTAGGTATATTTAAACTGTAAATCTGCTCCAAATGTGAAGGGAAACAAAACATACATGAAATCACGAACTTAAAAATTTTTCATAAGTGAATAATGCTTCTTTTTTTAATGTGTTCTTAAATACGAATTTTTTTATCAATATGAAATTTCGCCTACCCACCCCCTCCAAAATAGTCTCCAATTTGTCACTTTAATATTTTTAATATCTTATTTGATTTGATATTCTATTTGATTTGATTCTTATTTGATTTGATTTTAAATATCGCTTGATTGTTAACGTCACACTAGAGCCACAATGGGCTGTTACGTTCCGAGGGCAGTCCTTGCGCATTGCTCTATTGCAATTTAGATATTAAAAAATCAAATGTTGATACATCAATCAATCTCTGTTACTCTCGATTTATTATTATTATTAAAAAAAAACTAAATTAATGAGCAATTTTTAGTTTGAAAATTATTTCTAAATCGAATAGGAATTAATATTTCGTGAAAAGAAAAATTACCAAAAAATGAAAAATTCAGTCTTTTTCATCTATATTTTTCTGCCATCTTTCACTATATCAAGAATCATTTACAGAAATTGCTTTGCCGTTCCAATAATGTATTATTTATAATCTTTAAAAACTAAACATAAACAAACAATGTTAGAAAGAAATATCAATAAAAGACCAATTGAAAAGACTCGGTTTTTGCAACGTAGCAATTTCAAATTAAAAAAAAAAAGAAAAAAATAGGACAAAATCTAGAACACAAAGTTTAGCTTTAGGCAGAATTTAAAAAAAATTTAGACACGTAAAAATAAACTAAATTGCGAAGAACTGCAGATAACGAAACGACCTTGCGCTTGTCGACGAAGTGTTATCGATGAAATGAACCGTATTCAATTTTTGTATAAGCTACATATTACAATAAAAATAGTGATATATTTTTTTTAATCAGTTATCTGAAATTCTGTTTTACAGTTGATAGTATAAAAAAGAGAAAGAAAAACAGTTGTCAAGCTGAATTACGCGAAATCTTACATAAAACTCTAGCGTTGTTTTTTCACATTGTTCGACAGTATAGAGAACATCTGTTACGTATCTATGTTACTGTGAATGACCAAAATCAAGAGAATGTCGACTTTCACCGGTGAATGTCAACAATCACATAATTGCCGAAATATTTGTTATGTCCAATTTTACATTAATTTATCCCTTGATATTATATTTATTCGATATTTTAATATCTGCTGAGGATAAATTATGCGAAACATCAGTGTTCAGAGCAAAATATTTAAATGCATTACAAGGCAGCTGCCCTGAACCTTAAAAAACATCAATGTTGTGTATGCAGGGCAATGGCTCTCAACTAGACGTAATATATATTTCGGTTATTTACCAAAGCGAGTATGTGATTGTCAACATTCACCAATGGAAGTCAACCAACAATCACCACTTTCGGTCATTCACAAAAACATGTACATTTTTAATATCTACATAATGGACAATTCCACCATTTAGGAATATCATGTTTCTAGTTTTTAAAAGCACATAACATATTTTTTTAAAAAAATCAAGCAGTTATAGAATTTTTGTTAAAATAACTCTCTGTGTCATTTACATTTACTCCAATTTACAACGTTCATAATAAAAAAATTTTACAGACGTAACAAAATATGTCATGACCACAACAGGCTGTTTTTAAATTTCTTAAAATAAAAATTAGAGCCAGTGTAAATGACACCGAGAGTTATTTTAGTAAAATTTAATAGAACTGTTTGATTTTCTTAAAAAATAAAAAAACTCAAGTTTATACATTTAAGGTCTGCAAATATGGCATTCGTAAATGACATCGCCCTATATATATTTGTCTTTTCTCCTAAACATTGTGCATATGGATATTAATTAAAAACTTCTCGTCACTTTCTTCTAAAAATCAGTACCTAAGAACATTGTAGCAATAAGATTGTAGCAATAGCGCAACGACCTCCTTTACATCTAAGGTACTTATCAATCAGAAACAGTGGTATGAAAAACTACATTATTTTTGTAGTTTACTATAAATACAACTACTTTCTTACAAATGTAGTTAACTACAACGACTTTTTTTAAATGCAATGACTGCAGACTACTTTCAAAATGTAGTCACTACTTCACTACTTTAAGGAACTTTTCTGGGGAAATTAATTTACACCCAAGTTCAAAAAGGTTTTGAATAAAAAATTGACTTACATTAAGCATGAGGAATTTTTTTTTTACAAATAAAAAAAAATTATGCTTACGAGAGACAATTTGTTATTCCAAAACACTTTTTTCCAATTTGTTTATTTAACATTCAACATTTTATGTCTTATTCGACAGCGACTATTTAACTTAAGAAATGCGAAATTATCAAACACTTGCCATTTTTAAGTTGTGTAATGCTCTTTTAATTCCTCTAAGAAATTAACCACATCAAAAATGCACTCCATTCGTTTT